TTTCAGCCACCTGAGCAACTAGGATTACAGGCATGAGAAAGCAGTATCTGACTCTCTAGTAGCAACATTATAGGCATGGTCCACCAATGCATAGTACCATTGTAATTGATGGACTAACTGATTGATTGTGTTGGGGATGGAACCCAGGGCCTTACAAGTGCTAGGCAAGTATTCTGCCACTAAGCTATATGTCCAGCCTTTCCTTTCCTTTCCTTTTCTTTCTAAAACAGGGAGTCATTGTGTAACAGAGGCTGGCCTGGAACATGAGTTCCTCCTGCCTCAGGCTCCCTAGCTAGAATTATAGACATGTGTGGCTCTGTCATAACAGTTCATCATAACACACACACACCCTATCCCCCCCCCCCCCCCCCCCCCCCCCCCCGTGGACTCAACACAGCATCTTGGCACTTATCAGTAATGATATCACTGCCTTATGAGTTTTCCTGCCCTGAATGGGTATTTACTCTTCCTATTTCACAGAACATTAAGCTGAGGCCAGAAAAGACGAAGATCATTCAGCTTTTAAATGAAAGCACTGTGATGAGAGCCCAAAGGCCTGACTCCAAAAAGTGCTCGTCCTGGTTGGGCAGGTGCGCTGAGGACACAAGGAGAGCTGGAGTGGGGGCGGGTATGCAAAGCTAACATCGGGCAATGCCTGCAGGCACTGGGGCTATATGAGTCCTGCTCACCACTGCTCTGCTCTAAGGCTGTCCTGACAAACAGGCTAACAGGGTTATATCCGGGTCCACGTCTGTCTCTGAGGTCATGTCAAAGAAGGGGTTCATAGTTGGGCGCCATAATGGTTTGAAGCCAGCTGGGACAGATAAATCCTTGAGACTCTTTTTCTTTCTTTCTTTTTTTTGTCAGTCGTGGGGCCTGGACACTGTCCCTAAGCTCTTCAGCTCAAGGCTAGCACTCTACCACTTGAATGTCAGCCCCACTTCCAGCTTTTTCTGCTTATGTGGTGCTGAGGATTGGAACCCAGGGCCTCATGCATACAAGGCAAGCACTCTACCACTGAGCCACCTTGGGTTGGGAAGGTGTCTCAGTGGTAGAGCGCTTGCCTTGCATGCCTGAGGCCCTGGGTTCGATTCCTCAGCACCACATAAGCAAAAAAAAAAAAAAGCCGGAAGTGGTGCTGTGACTCAAGTGGTAGAGCGCTAGCCTTGAGCTGAAGAGCTGAGGGACAGTGTCCAGGCCCAGAGTTCAGGCCCCATGACTGGACCCAAAAACAAACAAACCACTGAGCCACCTTCCCAGTCCCTCCCTGAGACTCTTATCTCTAATTTTAACCAGTAAAAAGCCAGAACTGGAGGCATAGCTTAAGGAGTAGAATGCCAGCAGTGAGTGAAAAAGGTAAGCAAAAGCTTGAGATTTTGAGTTCAAGTCTCAATACAGTACAAAAAAAAGAGAGAGAGAGGGCTGGGAAGGGGGCTCAGTGGTAGAGCGCTTGCCTCGCATGCATGAGGCTCTGGTTTGATTCCTCAGCACCACATAAGCAAAAAAGAAAAAAGCCGGAAGTGGTGCTGTGACTCAAGTGGTAGAGTGCTAGCCTTGAGCTGAAGAGCTGAGGGACAGGCCCAGGCCCAGAGTTCAGGCCCCATGACTGGACCCCAAAAGAGAGAGAGAGAGAGAGAGAGAGAGAGAGAGAGCTGGGCACTGGTAGCTCACATCTGTAATCCTAGCTACTCAGGAGGCTGAGATTTGAGGATCATGGTTCAAAGCCAGCCCACACAGCAAAGTCTGTGAGCCTGTTTTTTTTTGTTGTTGTTGGTCGTGGGGCTTGAACTCTGGGCCTGGGCGCTGTCCCTCAGCTCTTCTTCAGCTCAAGGCGAGCGCTCTACCACTTGAGCTACAGCGCCACTTCCGGTTTTCTGGTGGTTTATTGGAGATAGGAGTCTCAGTCTCTCCTGCCCTGGCTGGCTTTGAACCGAGATCCTCAGA